CGTAGTCAATTTCAATTTCCACTCCACTGCGAGGTGGACCCTTGAACTTTATACATCATTGTTTATTGGAATCATCGATGCACAGGGTGCGGTGTCCAAGAATTATGGCTAACAACTTCGGCAGGCTACTGCCAAAGCGAAAATGTTCCTAAAGGTGGCTCTTAAAAGTTGTGTCTGTACCAGCACCGGATCTTTTATGACTCCCTTTCAAATCGTTTGGAATAAGACATCACGCAAAGAAGCTGCATTGAATAGCAAAGCATTCGTTTAGGTGCACTCATTATTAAAAATTCAAGCTACAGACATGAAAACTTAAACGGTAGGTATTTCGTTCCACTTTTGGAAACCATATTATTACAGCTCCAGCCCAATCGCGAGCTTAGCAAATCTTTCCAAATGTAATTGAAAACCCCTAAAGTCAGCAAAGCTTATATTGAGCTACAGCCAATTTTGAGAGTATAGCTATTGATATTGTGAAAAGGCAGCAAGTCGCAAAAAAATGTTAAGTCAATAGTACAAAGGCTTATGTTTTAATTTTTTAAATAAAGAAATACTTTTTTAGAATTTATTTAAATGAAGGTAACGATAGAATTTGACGCAGACGTTCTTTATCTATCAACTCTATTTTTTGTGGTTGACAGTGTTAACACGGTCGAGCAACTAGTAACAGGGATGGAATTGAACCCGGCGCAGCACGCCGCCTTCGGTTGCACCGACTTTTTCTTGGTATTTCCCATATAGGGCGGTGGATGGGTGACATCAATAACGTGGCATGTGCAGGGGTTAAGTAAATGACGTGAAAGGTGGTGACGTAATAAATTTATTCATGACTACGTTTTTTTTAACGTTGCCAGAAAATCTGGAAACACTGTGTGGGATTAATATTTTTAAGGTACCTGCCAAATGCCCAAACGCACAGGGATCACACACATCATCATAAGTAAGTACATACTATGAAAAATATCTTCGAGGACCATCAATAATAGAATAGGGAAAAGTTTGGTAAGGATAAGCAATGAAGAAACTATATTAATTGTGCAGCGGAAGAATGGTCGGCTTATTTATCATTGAAGTAAAAATTTAAAATGCGTTTCAGTATATTGACGTTTTTTGACGCTGGGGTAAATTTGGTTTGCTACTTGCAAGTATGTACTATACTATTTTGGTTGCAAATTAGTTAATGCTTTCAAATTAACATTGAAACAGCCAAGACCCATTGTGCTTTTACAATTCTTTCTCATTAAAAATATATAGGGCGTTCACTTTTACTTGCTGGAGCCATAAAACGATAATATCATAGTTCTTGGCCATAACAACTATTATGTACAAGATTGTAAACAAAACAAAGAGCAGCTAAAACAGCCAAGGCACAATTGCAGTTTCTGCCCTAATATGGGCTAAAAGAAAGTTGAAAGTATCGACAAACAAATAAGCGAAATTTCATTTACTGCGTCTCGTAATACGTACATATGTATTGCATACTGCGCAAGCATGCATACATACGTACATATGTATGTATGTGGATCCGAAAGTGTGCGCGAATGTCGGCGTTCAAATGTACATACATATGTCAATGCCGCGGACGTCGAGTGAGCGTGAAACAAATGCCAGCTATAAAATCTCAACAAAAAGCGATGCCAAAGGGCGCCAGCGTATAGCAGGCGTGAGACTGGTGGCAACATTTTTTATTTGTGTTTGCGGAGCCATGGCGGCCAGTGTAGCCGCCACACCCTCGCACTCGTTCCAATGTCGATAAGCTGTGTAAACGCATGGTAGAAAGCTCTTTCTGGAAGGCAACATTTTCAGGGGCATAGAAAAAAATAACTAAATAAGGGGTAAGATGACAATTTGAAGATAAGCAAGGCATAGGAACATACTATAATATGAACTCTACAAATCGGATGCGTCCCAGAAAAATGTGGCCATCATGTTCTAGTCTGTCGAGTATGGATAATATTATTGTGATATTCGGTGATTTTTGTGTCTACCAAATGTAATTATATATATATTTATATTTTTGTGAATTTTTCAAAGTTAGCAAAAAAAAAAGAAGAGAGCTATAGTCGAGTTCTACGATACCCGTTACTGTTTTATGCAATTTTAGAATATTAATTATGCTAGTGGAAATTTCCACCTAAACCTAAGTTTCTTCATAAATACCGAAATAATGTTCCGATTTAAAAAATTTTTGATAAAGCGATAAATATTGATAAAAAATATAATATGGTATACAAGGTCAAACGAAGACATACACTATAATATTATGGACGCACAGTTTTCCGCGGTTTGTGGGCGTTACAGTGAGCGTGACCGGATGTTAACTATTTGGCAGAAAGAGAAACACAAATTTATTTAAGTCTCAAACAAATTGATTTTGCAGCCAATAGTTCAAAAGAAAGTTCAACCTCGGGAAAGGATATTTTTCAATGATCCACATTTCCTTGTCAGCACTGGCGACTCTACAGCATTACTCGTACAGTAAAATGGTATACTAGATTTGTTGAAAAGTATTTAACAGGTAAAAGGAAGCGTTTCCGACCGTATAAAGTACATGTATTTTTGATCAGGATCAATAGCGAAGTCGATTAAGCCATGTCCGTCTGTCCGTGCGTCTTTTCGCCCGCCCGTCCGTCTGTCCGTATGAACGCTGAGATCTCAGGAACTATAAGAGATACAAAGTTAAGATTAAGCATGAAGATTCTTGAGGTCCCTGCGCAGCGCAAGATCATCAGGATCATGCCAGGCCCACTCTAACGCCCACAAATCACGAAAAACTAAAATCGCTGAAATCACAATCTCTTACGCCCACCAAGCTTGAAAGACGTTTTTCACATTTTGTAGACAAGCTGATATCTCGGTAACTATAACTGATCGGTAACTAACTAACTGATAGTTTCGTTTAAGCATGTAAGTTTTTATGATTCCCCCTATGCGAATTGTTTTTTTCCATCGAGCCACGCCAACGCCCACAAAACCCGGAAAACCAAAAAAGCCAAAATCTCAGGAAGTATAAAGCTAGAAAGCTGTGCCTTAGAATACGTACTTACGAGATGATTCTGCAACTGGCTAAGAGTTTTCATCTGACCACGCCTACTTTGATACAAGCCACGAACAATTGTGGCGGCCATAATATTTTAGTGTGCATCTTTGTTTCACCTTGTATACATATTTGTCAATATCTATCGATTTACCAAAGATTTTTCAAATGGGAAAATGGAAATGGGAAAGGAACACATATGCTGATTTTATTGACAAATGAGTCCCACAAGATCAAGGCAAAAACACAGTAATAATGCTCTTACTTTCGGAACGTGACTGATTGGCAGAGCGCACCTACGAGCATCACCGATGTCCGACAGCATTGCAGCATCCGCGTAGAATCATAAATGATGAAAGGCCGAGGCATTATAAAGCGCTTCAGCAAACGAAGAGCAAATGAAATAGATGCAAAATAGCACAACCGCACTTAAACTTGGCATAAAATAAACGCTGCTGCTAGCTGCCACTTGCCGACAAACAGATAACATGTACAGATAAACATGTACCTACGTACATATGTACGTATGTACATGTATGTCGTCTGCAATTAATGTCCCTTGGAATTCCGTTGAAAGTGCTGGGATTAGAATCAAAACTAGCTAACCACACGATAGAAGAACCTTCCGCAGCATCATAATAATGCGACAACAGGCATGGCCAACAACACTGTCAGCCGATGCGAAATTTGGTCTATCTGCCGCCAGTCGACGCCATTGCAAATTGTTGCCCTAAGCGGATTATGCAATGTGAGGGACGTGTGCGGACTTGAAGCCGAATTCGGATTCGGTGGGCTAGTTGGCCTGCGTGACAGTTGACAGTTTGACGTGGCCCACAGACTGGAAAATCGAATAATTTTTGATGAATCAATGTCATACTGCTGAAAATCTGCGAACTGTCAGCACGGCTGCGGAGTTCTGGGTGGGCTTATCTTTTTTACCTTTTAAATATGAAATATGATATAACACGGTCGGAGCTTGACACAGTCACTACGTGCCAGCACAAGTTTATTTCACCATCCTGCCACGCCTGTTCTAACGCCCACAAATCATGGGAAGCTAAAATCACTGAAATCTTTGGAACTTTGGAACTTAGAGCTAGGAAGTTGGGATTAAGTATGTATAATATTAAGATGCCTGAAATCTCGGTTACTATAAGGGATAGAGATTTTGTATGATGCCCCCAATCCGAATTATTTTTTTCCCTTGTAGCCACGTTTACTCTAACGCCCACAAAACACAGAAAACCAAAAAGGCGAAAATCTGGGGAACTATAACAGCATTTAAGAGATGCCACTGCAGAACGACGTCAGTTTTCACCCGAACACGTATACCATAATATTTAATGTATGTCCTCGGTTGTCCTTGAATAACATTTATAATATCGATCTACCAAAAATTTTTTAAATTTATAAAGAAATATAGGTTATAAGGCCTAACATGGCCAGTGACGTCATAATGATTTAGTAAACATACTTTTTTGATAAAAGGTGGCGCTTTATCCATTTCAACTAGCAAAATGAACATGTTACAATTGTGTAAAGCACTAACGGGTATTTTAAAGTCGCTGCCCTCGACTATAGCGTTTCTTCTTGTTAGCTCAGGAATAAAAATCGCCATATCTTATCCTATTCTCCTTCGCATTGTTTTCTGGCCCAAGAAAGTGTTAAAGTGTATGTTCGATATTTTTTCAATCAAATTACCTATATGTCACGTATACGCAATGCCGTATGTACATATATAAGTAGTCTTTAAAAATGCTCACAAGCCCAAAGCAGCCGCGAAGTTAGAGCACTAAAAGATGAAGCCGACGGGGAGGTATCGAATACACACTTGCATCCACATTTATACGACATCCACATGCCCTTCTATGAATATGTGTGTAGTGGATAAGGTTCATTAAAGTTCATTCTTCTGCCGTTCTCACCGTCTGTTTCCACATTTATTCACATTAACCAAGTTTGTGCCCGGAATTTTTTCATCGTTTGGCGGCCTCTGCCATTTTTGCTGGGTGACGTCCCGCGCTTAAATTTTGATGAAGCAGGAAACGCCTGTATTAGTGAACAGTGCGAGGTTAAGCCAAAGGAAACAGGTCAAAGTGTACTTGGACATATTTCGAGAGTTCTTTAGAGATATTTAAAGCGTCGAGCAGTTTCATTAAAAAATATTTTAGTCGCCTCGAAAAATGTATATGCGAACCTATTAGTATGTTATTATTAAGTCTCTTCCCCCGCTACTAACGGCATAAAACTAAACGAATTGCGGAAATATACGATAAATAAAATCTGTTGAGCTATGCAAGGCTCGGGTTCCCAGCATTCCGCTACTCTTGTGTACATAAAATCTGGGCAGGCTGAAAAGGGATGTCAGATTGCCGACTCCTTTGAAGTTCTTGGTGGCGTACCTTTCATTTTAATCATAGTGCCCGCTTATGTGTGTTCAGCTTGTAAATAGCAACACCGAAGACATATGCCACTTTATGTCAATTATTTTGACAGCAAACAAGAGCAAGTATACAGGATGTCGACGCTATTGAAACACACAAGATAAAATAAGAGTACATCAGGTGGTTAGTATATTTTCGCTGTACTGATAAGTGGATAGCACTTTATTTCGTGCAGCTACCAAAAAAAAGTTTGAGTCGTTATACACAGTTTTTTAACAGGGAACATTAACATCGAAAACGATAAGAAAATTAAGAAAACTCCAAGCTATTGGCTATATTAATTCCAAGGCTCAACAAGCAAGGAAGAAGCCATTTATCAGTCAGGAAAATATTGCTGCTCGGTTGAAGTTTACAAAGGAGCACATACTTTTTTCGATTTCGTTATGGGAAGTTATCAAAATATAACATTTTTGGTTCAGATGGACGACAATTTGTGTGACAGCGACCAAATACAGAGTTGGAAATTAAGCACTAATAATAAGTAGCACAGCAATAATAAGTAGAATCTGCTGCACAAAATAAGCTGCGGCATGAGAAAAGGGTGAATTTTTTATTTTTTTTACATAAGTTTTTGTTTTTATGATTAAGAAAATCGTTTTAGTTTAATAAGCATGTTAATAAAAAAAAAATTTTTTTTTCGATATATTTTTTAGTTTAGCAGGAATAACGACTCAAACTTTTTTTTTGTAGCTGCAAGAAATAATCTGTAATCCACTGTATATACACAATCATACAAAAGAATGATATTTTTCAACGAATTTCGTCGTTGAAACATATTGATTTGTTGATTAATGACATATTTGTTTTAGCAGACAACATTTTTCGTTCGTCTTGAAAGTTTCTATTGCTTATCGCCAAATTATAAGTATTACTTGTAGTAAAAATTGATACAGTGATGGAAAAAATAATAGAAACGACTTTTCACTTTGGGTTTGAATACGTATTTTTAATAAGGAACGTGGTGATGAGTGGATATTTTTATTTTTTTTTTGATTTATATACATCTATCTTACATACTAAAAAACAAAAATGCAATTAACTTTATTCATTAAGCTAAAAAAATATATTTAAGTCAAATTTTATGTTTTTGACTTGGAAATAAAAATAGAAACGATGTGACTTATCGTCATCCAAATTGACTAGCTTATTAAAATTAACCATGAAATGTTTTCAGGTTTAATATTTTGTTGCATTACCGTGATTTTTCAAAAATTCCGGCACACCTACGAGGCATAGACTCCACAGAATTGGAGCATATTGCTGGCTTAATGGAGTACAACTCCTCCAGGACTTTCTCCCACAAATGCTCCTTATTTTTTGGCCTAAAACCACTTAAACGTTTAAGAATGCCCCTCAAATGCTCAATAGGGTTTCAGTCGGGTGACTAAGCTGACTAATCCATAACGCCGACTTAATTGTCCAGGATCCCCTTTTTAGCAAGCTACAATGTGTGTTTGGTATCGTTATCCTTAATAATTTCCCACTTCAAAGCCATTTCATCCTCGGCATATGTTAACATAACGTCCATCATTATGTTTAAATTGTCTGTAGCACAGATATTGTCCTGTATCCAATATAGATAGTGGACCAACACCTGAAGCAGAGAAACATCCCCATAGCAATATAATATATTATATGTTTATAACAAATAAATGACAGATAGGTTGAAGAAATTAATTTGTTACACCATTCGACTCGTCCGAGCCTACGCCCTCCATCCATTTCAGCTTTAGTGCGTAGTGGGAGGTTATTTCAATATGCGGTTCAATAAAATTACGGTCAATAATAAACACTGCCGCGGCTAATTGAGTATGAAAAAAAAGATGCGTGGTGGCGGTGGTGATAAGAGGGGAGCCGGTAATGGTGATTGCTCCATTAACTCAGTGTCCCTGTTGCGGTCAGCATTCATTAGACTCAGGCGGGTTCGGAAAAAAATGCAACATGACACATTAAAAGGCTTTGCTTTATCCACCTACCTTTTTTTCAAGAGTTTATTTCAATGCCGTTATTTGTTTCCGTTTACTCACTGGGTGGTGGTTAGTCGGCGCACATCTGTTACAATCGCTAATTTTTGAAAATCGATTTTATTTAAACCGTTTTCTTGATATTTTGTTTGGTCACCAGGTAGAACTCTGGCTACCGGCAAAGAGTCTGATCCAGCTGGGCACCAAGTTCTGACTTCCCTAACCAATTTTAAGTGCCTGCTGCAAAAATAAGCACTTGCCACATGCAAAATTATATTGGGTGCAACTAGCAATGCCGACATCATTCAGCTGTCAGACCAGATTGAGCCGAGCGGCACGGCTTGCCATCAACTTATTGAATTTAAGCCAATTTAGCAAGCAAGCACTTAGCAGACCACATAGCAGCACAATTGCCCTGAGCATCTTTCGTCCGAAATCTGATGTTCCATGTCCAAAGTCCGTGTGCCGGATCAAGTGGCGGACCAATTTTGGATGGCACTTCGCCCTCCTCAACTAAATCAAGATGTCTTGCTTCTCTCGACCGCTGGCCACCTGTCAAGTGCATGTTGATAAATTTCCCAGCTAATGGTGCCAGTAGCCCAAGGAAACGCGGTGGGGATTGAGCCTTTGTCGGATTGGGGTAAAAATCCAGCATGTAGATGTATAGGGCACTACAGAAATGCCAAATGCCGGTCGGTGGCAGGTTGCTACTTCCACCGTTAACTGAATTGGAAATCACAAAAATTGGTCATTCCGACACAATGAGCAGGTTAGCTCCTAGCGTACGACCTGCATCATCCATTAGTGGAAGCGATAAATGCTGGCGAAAGTGCACGGAGGGAAGCCCAGAAACAACATTCTTGGAAAATTCAATTGCGCATCTTTAAGGGATCGGCGCTAAAAGGCTTCTCTCGGAATCAACGAGGACAAACCGTAGAGCAATGTTGGGTTGAGTAAAGTACGGCAAAGTAAAGCAAAGTGGTACGTAGTTTGCCTGGCAAAAACACTGGCATTTGGCGTTATTCACTTTGCTTGCTTCGATGTGGTTCGAGGTTCCGGCTGTCTGACTGTTTAGAGAAACATAAAGTTTTAACCGCAACTCAACGAGGTAGTCTGGCGACAATTTAATGTGCTACTGTGCTAGAATTTTATGGCTATTCAAAAATCAACAGGAGGAGCGGTACATCAGCAGATAGTAGTGAAATCTGAGCTATACGATTATGCCGCTAGGCAGCCGAGTGCGCATAATTTCATTAAGTCCAAATTTCCAGCTTGGCTAGCTCACATGGGACCATGGCTGAAAGCAGGTTTATAAATAGATCGCTCCAGGTTAGAATCGAGTTTTATTTCGCAGTATAATTTCGATAAACATCAGCAGATAGTAGTGAAATCTGAGCTATACGATTATGCCGCTAGGCAGCCGAGTGCGCATAATTTCATTAAGTCCAAATTTCCAGCTTGGCTAGCTCACATGGGACCATGGCTGAAAGCAGGTTTATAAATAGATCGCTCCAGGTTAGAATCGAGTTTTATTTCGCAGTATAATTTCGATAAACCAGGCTATAGAGGGTGTGTACCCATTTCCACTAGCAAAATGAATATTTTAAAATTCTGTAAAACAGTAACGGTTATCTTATAGTGGCGGTACTCGACTGTAGCGTGTCCTCTTGTTTAATCTTACGGCGTATATACATATATCAAAGAAAAATGAAAATATCGTCGGTCTGCCTTATCCTTATTCTGTTTTTCATTCTTTTGCCGAAGCGATGAGGTACTGGAGCTCGAGCGGAAAGTGCACCTATTTATGGGACCTTAGAATATTTTCCCTGTGCCCTATTGCCGGCCACATAAATATAAATAAAATCATTACTGACATAAACGGAACTCATTCACAATTCAAATTAAATTGCCCGTGCTTCTTGGCCACTTTTGGTGGTAAAGGTTGTACAGCTCCAGGGTGCGCTCATGCATGAAAATGACCATGGATACGTCCAAATCGGGAAACGGAGAGGAAGATATAGAGGCTTGGCCAGAGTTGAGGACATTAAGAGTTCAGCTATTTGGGCATCAAACTTTCAACGAGGACAGAAATGCTCTTAATATGCCTCATTTTTAATAAATTTAATTTGGGTGTAGTTGGCTATAATAAGAGGGCATTTCATTCCCAAAGTGTGTAATCCGTTACTCGTAGAGTAAAAGGGTATACTAGATTCGTTGAAAAGTATGTAACAGATAGAAAGAAGCTTTTGCGACCCTATAAAGTATATATATTCTTGATCAGGATCAATAGCGAAGTCGATTGAGCCATGTCCGTCTGTCCGTCCGTCCGTCCGTCCGTCCGTCCGTCCGTATGAACGCTGAGATCTCAGGAACTATAGCAGATACAAAGTTGAGATTAAGCATGAAGATTCTTGAGGTCCCGGGACAGCGCAAGTTTATTACAGTATCCTGCCACGCCCACACGCCCATAAATCGCAAAAAACTAAAATTGCTGAAATCTCGAACTATTGCAGTTAGCAAGTTGAAATTCAGAAAGTATAATCTTTAGATTACAGCGCATCTTATAGTAGTACTACTATCCGGCCGCACCCACCCATACGCCCACAAGGCTCAAAAGACGGTTTTCGGATTTTCTAGAAAAGCTGATATCTCGGTAACTATAAGTGATAGAAAGTTCGGATTAAGCATGTAGGTTTCTATGATGCTCCCAATGCGAATTGTTTTTTTCCGATCAAGCCACGCCCACTCTAACGCCCACAAAACCTGAAAAACCAAAAATGCAAAAATCTCGAGCTATAAGCTATAAGAGCTACACAATTTTGCTTAGGAACACATATTTAGGAGATGCCTCTGCAACTTGCCACGAAGTTGCATTTGGCCACGCCCACTCTAACTCCCACAAACCGCGGAAAACTGTAGCGTCTATAATATTATTATGAATGCCTTTGTTTGACCTTGTATAACTTATTTCTGTTAATATCTATCGATTTACTAAAGATTTTTCAAATCAGAACATTATTTCGCTATTTATGAAGAAATTAAGGTTATAAGCCCTCACATGGGCAGTGACGTCACTATAAGCATACTCAACATACTTCCTCTGACAATAGGTGGCGCCTTGTGAATTTCCACTAGCAAAATAATATTTTAAAATTTTGT